AGATCAGTCACATTATAATCCAATGATTATAATGGAAAATGTTTTTTGTGAGTATTCTGTGGTGATTTTTGTGGTACTCATGGAGATTTCATAGGTTGAAGCTTTTTCTTAGATTTGTATTTAAGATCCTCCTTATATTTCAAAAGGAAAACACCAGGCCTTCTTAAACAATATGAAAGAAAATGTGAGGTGTATGAATGCATTAAAAATATGGTACTCTGTATTTATAGGTTATCCATTGCATGTTTCTTTTAGTTGATAAGCCCATATTCTTTACTAGATGATTAAGGTTGTAAGCCAGTCTCAGGCTTCTTGATGTATCTTTGTCTTATTCTAGTTGATAGTTGAATTCCTATGACTTCTGTACATTTTGAATCCTAAAGGATGGTGCTTGTATTCTATACATATCCTTGTGTCACATGTCAAAAACCTTCAGATTACCAAGGGTGATTTTTCTGGACTTCAAACAGTAAATCAGACTTTTATCTCTACAAGGACAGTGTCTCCGGTTCATTTATGGACCCACTCCCTCTTTTTTATTTTAGTGTTAAAATTCTAGCTGAGAGATATGCAAAAATAAGTAAGGTTATTTGAACTTCAAATATTTGGCAAGAAAATGAATTTCAAATAGTTGCTGTCTTTCAATTCAGTTTGGATGCAGGGAGTTGCTGAAATAACATAAAAAACTTATTTAAGGTGACCTGTGAATTTTTTGAAAAATTAAATGAAATAAACTATTAATGACAGGGACAGAATCAATATGAATTAGACATAAATACATTCGGGAGATGTATGAAACTGAACTTTTAACACTACAAGACTCAGTCACAAGCTGCCACCTCCTTCAATCAGTCTGTAAAATCATTAACTTCATTTTAACATCACATATAGATTTTTGTTGGATCCTTTCCACAAATGTTTTTTCAGTAGGTGTTTTACTGATTAGCATTAAAAAGGTGATTTAGTTGCTGTTTTCTTTTTCTGTAGCACTGCAAATAAACCAGATGGCAATAAAGCAGGACAAGGGAGCTGGGTGCAGTTTTAAGTTTTTCACTTCTGCACATCCACTCTATTTACATGAGAAGATAATTTCACCTCTTCCACAGAATGAGGCAGCCTATGGGAATATGCAACTGAAACACGATGAGAAGTACTGTTGTAGTGTGTATCTGGAGGGGTTAATGTTTTGTGAAATATGGCTTGACAAACTATTGATGTTTAGTTGTTTATTTTATAGGGAACTGCTGTTCTACATTTGTTTGGAGTTGTGCAAAGGATATACAATATGTGATGTATGTAGGGGACAACTGCTACATTTTTTTTGACTTGAGAGTACCAGGATACTACTTATTTTGTGACTGGATATATTTCTAGCATTTGACATAGGATAAACATCATATCAGTTGGTGGACATACAACTGTAATGTGGACAGAAGTGTATTTATTTCTTTTCTTTAAGTACAAGTCACTGTGAACTAAGTAAAATTTACTGTATTTGACTTTCCAACTTATTACAGATTAGTAAATAATTGCTGTAATTTTACAATATAACTAATGCTGTATTTGACTGAGAATTGGTTTGTACTTAGATATATGTAGAATAATTACCTGTTAGCTAAGAGACTATTATAACGTGTGTAGATGACTGATAGATTTCTGTGAAACTATCAATGTGATTTCGAGTACTACTATTCTGTGTGGTATACATATGTGGAACTATCTTCACTGTTTAGCTTGTTACTGTTGTTTGGGGTGAGATGTTCTCTATATTGGTAAGCTATATGTAATGTATATTTTTTCAGTTACTTAGTCTGCTGTACAGAGCAAAATGAAAGTTGAGCATAAATTATTTAAGCCAAATAAAAAATAAGTTTGGATGTTAATCTTGGCTGCATAACTGAATCAAAACATGTGATGATGTTTATAATTTTATGCATAAAAATCTTCCTGATAATAGTTTATCTTTTAAAAGTGAGAACTGTAATACATTCTGCATGTTATTTTTTATCTGATCATGGCCCAAGATCTTAATATAGCAGCTGTTATTTTATATAAAGTTGCTAGTACAATTTTTATTTCTTTATTGGACCATCCTTGCCTTCACTGAATTGCTTTGATAATAGTTTCAATGTAATTGTTTTACTTTAAACTGGTTTTATTTTACTTCCAAAAAGCCTTTTTTCTCATTTCTTTTTCTGGATCACATGTCATGAAATTCTCTTTTTGCTTGTTCAGATCTGAAGAAGTGATATAGAAATTTGATGAAACATAACCCAGAAAAAGAAAGATAAGAAGACTTTTCAGGAGTAAGGAAAACCAGTTTTAGACTTTAAATTTTGATGGCATGGTCTAGTTTCTGAAAAAGTTATGAACAAGTTAACAAAAGCCGTTTGTGCTACACTAATTTTCCACTCATTATGTTCAACACTGAAACTAATTTCTTCATCAGTCAGTCTAACTCACATGATTGGTTGCATCTTTTTACTCTTCATATATGATCTCTTGCTTTCTCAATGAATGTGAAAAGAACTTGCTCTTATTAGACTCCTGTACCCAAGATTTTACTCTTCATAAGTCAATTCTAAGTAACATAATGGATTAACATATATTTTGAGAAATCCCTATTTTAAGGTGCTTCATATTTAGAGATGTCCACTGAGAGATACTTCTAAGATAACCATCATATAACTTTTCTTTCCAAAAGAATATCACCCTGGTTTTTGATTCTTGTTCAGTCTTTGAACCATTTAATGTTTTATAGATTTCTTTATACAGTGAGTTTTATTTGCTTTATTATAATGTCCCTGTTTTAATTGATTCATGAAACTGTCCTTGAAATAGAAATAAAAGCTTATTGTGTGTCAGTTGAAAGTAAATTTCATGTTGTAAAGATTTGTAATAAGTTTATATCTGTAAGAAAAAGTTTTACTTACATAAGTGAAGTCCAAGATCCTATACAGCATGATTTTGATATCATTACTTATAGTAATGGATAAAGTCAATTGATTACTGAAACGTAATATATAGTTTAACTGTTTTAAACTCAAAAAATTATAAGTGAAGTTTGGGAATATGGATATTAGTTTATCTGACAGTTCATCAAAACCAACAAACAGTTTCAGTAGTAAAATAAAAAGATGTTGCTAATGCTAGAAAATTTGACATTTTTCTGACAATTATTATACTATAAACTTGTTTAAATACAGAGACCTATGAATGCTAAAAATCTCTTTAGGGCATTAATTAATATACACATTTAAGTTTGAAATTATAGAGAATAAATTCTGGTTGGTGTAGCTCACACATGCACTCATTAAAAGAAGAAAGCAAAGTACTTGCATTTTTAGGACTAATTTAAGTAAAACATAAGATAATGAGTAATAATGGTTGGAGACGGCTTCAAAAGGCTAAGAAAAAAAACTTTAATTTAAACTTTAAATAACAGCACAAATAACATGTTTTCA